TTCCACTTGTCTTTGCTAATTCCCTCCATCTTTGGGCATATGCTTTGAAGGATTCGTCGTTTTTCTTGCTTAATAATTGTAGATCTGCTCTTTCGGGGTCGGGTCAATGTTGTATTTATAACGACGAAGAAATGCATCTGCCATATGTCTCCAGGTTTGGATTTGCCCTCCTTCTAGTTGCATATACCAGTTTAAGGCTGATTCGACCGAGGCTCTCCTGAGCGGTGGATCGAGGAGTTTTCATTATCGGCATGTGCGACCATCTTACGACGAGTACATTGTAAGGTGGCTTCTCGGGCGAGTCGATCCCATGTATTTCGGGAAGTCGGAGTTTTGAACTTGTTAGGGAATTGGATATTTTTGACGAGGCACATATCAGTTGCTTCTTTTATATCAAAGTTATGACCTTCCATGGCTCTCGGCCTTTCTTCAAGAGCGAGTGATTTGTTGTTTTGATATTTCGGGAGCATGAATATGTCTTGCTCTTGTGTCGAGAATGATCGTGCTCACTTTGAGGTTCCTCTTCTTCTTCTTGGTGAGAGGCTTGTCCATTACGAGGATCCTCTCGATGAAGATTACTGTTGATGCATCATTTCTAGCATTTGAGCCATTTGCTCTTTCAGCGTAGTAAGCTCGGCGGTGAGCTTTCGGTTTTGCTCTTCTAGTTGTTCCATCTTCTTAGCTTTTTGAGCACGAGTGAGGACGGGCGGAAGACCAGCCACCTTCTAAATGATTTTAATGATTCTTATTATGACTTTTTATTTTAAATGATTAGCGTGGAATAAATACGCCCTAGGATGAATGTGTTTATGTATGAGAGGTTTTATTATGATGATGTTTATGCATACTTTTCTTAATGCATTGGTTTTCTCTCTTGGTTTTACCACTTATTGAATGATATGGTATGAATGATACGACTTTGCCAAAAATCTTTTGTAAAAGGTATTTTTATGACCTTAATGTTTTTATATTTTTTTATGATTTTTAGGGTTTTTCACTTTTTTATGATTTTTAGGGTTTTTCACTTTTTTATGATTTTTTTGGGGTTTTTCACTTTTTTGTCTGTTGTATGATTACCTTATACTAATGCATCAATACAAATGCAGACAAACGTATGCACACACAATTTACACATCCACGAGCGAGCCACGCTTATTTAATCACGAGGTAGGATTTTCCTGCGAAATGTGCTTGGTTTAGGTGGTTCTAGCTTGTTCTCACCGAGGCCAAAGGTCCCCAAGGTGCCCCCATTATAGGGACCTCTCAATCTCTCAATCCTCGGGTCATGCACGGAACTCAGTGGCGACACCCTTAGACCAAAAGAAGAGAGTTATCACCTTGAGTTGGTGGTTTTCAGACAACGGCGGTAGCCCGTGTGCCAACTAACCGATCGTATCTGCCACCCACTCCCTATAGATATTCACTCTTGCCCCGGGTATAGAGGGACTCGTTGTGTGCAAGGGTTCTTGTGTGCAATTTATATTTCAAACAATTGCGAAATAATCATACGGCGAGTTATTAAAGCCATACAATAAAAACATACGAAGGGTAAAGGCGTAATTTCAAATCTTTACTTAGTTTGAATTTATCACGTCACTAAATGGGATCAACTCTATAGCTTCCCCGGTGGAGTCGCCATACGTCGCCGCCAGTCCCTTTCCGACGTACGGAGGACGTCTCGAAACGTTTATGCGAGCGGTCGCGAAAAGATGGTTTAGACTCGCGTTTTTGTTTTAAAAGGTTTTCGAAAAGGGGTTCTTATGGAGTCGCCACCAATGTTTTGACCATAAACATTGGAAAAGGAAAAAATGTTGATTTTAAGAAAAACCGCACTTGGCCATTATAACCGGAGTTGGGTAAGGGAGTTAGTTACGTGTGGGGAAGGTGTTAGCACCCCACAACGCCCCTTTCGGGTTCCCTATGACAGATTAATTCATTTAAATAAAGACTACGAGAAATTACGCGATTACCCTATTTTATTACATAATATTAAATGGCTATCTACATGATTTCATTCTATGTTGCATGTATAAAATGATGAATAAAGCTAAATAAAGCAATAAAAGAGATATTAAAATAGCTATCTACATGATCCTATTCTACATGACATAATAAAGCTAAATAAAACAATAAAACAATAAATAAAACAATAAAAGAGAAGGGAATTAAAAAGAACCTCACGTAGCAAGCTTTATATTGAGAACCTCGAACTGTGAGGATGCGTTTTGGCAACCCCTCTCTCTACACGGTCTCTCCTCACCAATACAAGATCGACTCTACTAAAAATTTAAAGAAGAATCAAATGCGGAATATAATTCCTTAACAGATTGTTACCTATTTAAGGCAATCGGAAAGATCATTCGAGAGAGAGAGAGAAGTAGACAAGTGCTCTAAAGTGTTTCAGAGCTCTCGGAGTGTACGTGGTGTGAAAAAGTAGCAAATGAGCCTCCTATTTATAGTTTTTCGCAGTTGGCGCACTTTGGGACGGCCGTGCGGGTTGGGACGGCCGTACGGACTAGGATGGCCGTCCCAAATGGCAAATTTACACGAGCGGGACCCCGGGAAGGCGGGACGGCCGTCCCACTTAAAATGGGTTTGGGACGGCCGTCCCAGCTTTGGGACGCGCGTCCCAAGCTGGATTTAAGAGGTTGGGACGGCCGTCCCAGCTGAGGACGGCCGTCTCAGCACTGTTACGCCGGTTCGCGCGTTTCGGGACTCAGGAAGCTTTCCTTGCTCGTTTTGGACGTCGGTTGATGCCGATATGTGTCTATTGAAGCTTTATCTTCATATGGGAAGTCTCCTTGGCTCTTATTTGTAATGCTAGACGAGCTTTATCTTGTTACGGGTAATCTCCTTTATCTTTATTTGAGAGGTCGGGCAAAATTAGGGGTCTACACATACCTTCTTTATGCATTTGTTTTCTCTCTTGGTTTTTCTACTTATGACATGATGCGATATGAATGATACGACTTTGTCAAAATTCTTTTTATAAATGTTTTGATTTTTCTATTAATATTTTATTTATTTTGGATTTATTTTTTTAGCCTTTTATCTCTTCTGTCGGACTGCGTGGTTACTTAGCTTACAAAGAACCTGAAACCAGGCTAGCTAAAAGGCAGACTGTCCGAGATAAAATGTGGCTTTATGCGAAAGAATATTTAGCGTCCCTTATCTCTTACGTCGGAACTGCGTGGCTACTTAGCTTACAAAGAACCCGAAACTAGGCTAGCTAAAAGGCGGACTGTCAGAGATAAGGGTGTTTATTGAAGGAAAATGTTTTTTCTTTGTGATTTTTCTTTGTTGTTTGTTTATGCTATGCAACAGACAAATGCAACAAACATATGCACACACAATTCGATCATCCCCGAACAGGCGAGAATTCGTTTTTATCACGAGGTAGGGTTTTCTGCGAGAAAAGTGCATTGGCGAGGTTGGTTCTAGCTGTTCTCACCAGGCTAAGGCCCCCAAGGTGCCCCCATTATAGGGTCCCCACTCTCCGGCCATCCAGACCATGCTTAGCACTAAGGCCATAGTCGGTCTTGTTGCCAAAAGAGGAAGGTTATCACCTTGAGTGGTGGTTTCCGATCACACCGGTGGGCACAAGGCCATCACTACAGGGAACCGTACCTGCCACCCACTCCCTATGGTTTTCTCACTTGCCCCCAGGTATGGAGGGAACTGTAGTGTGCAAGGGTTTGTGTACAGTTTGTATTTCAAACAATTGCATAAGTATAAACAAGCAACAATTATTTAAAGTCAAACAATAAAACATGTTATAATACAAGGTAAGGGTAAAAGCGTTATTTTTCTTGGTTTATTTATTTTTAAGCCGGCCTATCACTAAATGGGATCATCTCTCTAGGCTTCCCCAGCGGAGTCGCCATCTGTCGCCGCCTCCAAAAATGAGGGGCGGTCGGAGCGATGCGATGGTTCTCGACCCTCTTGCTTTCGCGTTTTTATAGGTGGTTACAACGTCCTTAGGTTGTCCGATAACCGGACTAACCTAGAGACGAGGTTTTCGAAAAAAGTGTTCTTGGATTGTCCGATAACCGGGCTAACCCAAGAACATGTTTTAAAAGGGTTCTGGAGTCGCCACCGATGTTTTTACCGGAAACATCGGAAAAGGAGTTTTAAAAGGCGTTGGTTTTCGAAAACCAACTTTGGTCATTAGAACCAGAGTTGGGTAAGGGAGTTAGTTACGTGTAAAGGAAGTATTAGTTCCTTTATGACGCCCCTTTCGGGTTCCCTATGATAGGCCGATTACTTTGGATAAATAAATAAACTGGAAAATGCGCTTTTACCCTTTTTATTATGCGGAATTCAAAAATTATGACTACATGGCCCTAACGTCTATTGCATAATTTAAATGAAAGCAGTAAAAGTAGAGAGGGAGAGTGTGAACCTCCAAAACAAGCTTTTTCTATTATTTCTTTAAAAGAGGGTGCTTTGTGGCAGCCCTTCACTCTACAACACTCAGAAACTCCGAAAATGCTTCGGAGGGGTTCTAAAGAAGATTTGAATCGCTCAAAATACTCCTAGAGACACTCAGAAACTCCGGAAATGCTTCGGAGGGGTTCTAGAGAGAGAAAATCTAGAGAGAAGGAGGAGAAACTGTGTGGAAAAAGGGGAAATGGAGCCCCTATTTATAGTTTTTCGCGCTTGACAAGTCGAGACCGCCGTCTCGTCTGGACAAGCGAGACGGCGGTCTTGTCGCTGGCGTGAGGCGAGACGGCGGTCTGGTCCTTCCAGACGGCGGTCTCGTCCTATCAGGGCGAGAAACTTTATTTTTCGTGCCAAAAACCTTCCTATCCTAGTACGGGGGCCTAATAGTCTCTCCTAGTGGCTTTTTAGGCTTCGTCCATCTTCGAATAGGAGGTCTTCTGCTCTTGTTTCTGAGGCCGGGCAAGATTTGGGGTCTACACTTCCCCATCCATACTTTCTTCTTTATCCTTAACTTCTTCTCCATCCAAAACTTCTTCTTCCTTGACTTCGTCTCCTTCCTAAACTTCTTCTTCCTTAACTTCTTCTCCATACTTCGGTTCTTCTCCTCCATTCCAAACTTCTCCTCCATCCCAAACTTCTTCTCCATCCCAAACTTCTTCCCCATCCATGCTTTCTTCTTTACCCTTAACTTCTTCTCCATCCAAAACTTCTTCTTCTTCTTCTTCCTTAACTTCTTCTCCTTCCTTCACTTCTTACCCATCCCAAACTACTTCTCCATCCTTAACTTCTTCTCCTTCCCTAACTTGTTCTTCATTCTTCACATTTTCTCCTTCCCTAACTTCTTCTCCATCCTCCTTAACTTCTTCTGCTTCCTTAACTTCATTCTACATCCCAAGTTTCTTCTCCATCCTTAACTATATAATCTCCTATCCTATCCCATCCCATCCGAAAGTTCTTCTCCTTCCTTAACTTCTTCTTCCTTAATTTCTTCTCCATACTTAGTAGATTCTTCTCCATTCCAAACTTCTTCTCCATCCCAAACTTCTTCCCCATCCATACTTTCTTCTTTATCCTTAACTTCTTCTCCATCCAAAACTTCTTCTTCCTTGACTTCGTCTCCTTCCTAAACTTCTTCTTCCTTAACTTCTTCTCCATACTTCGGTTCTTCTCCTCCATTCCAAACTTCTCCTCCATCCCAAACTTCTTCTCCATCCCAAACTTCTTCCCCATCCATGCTTTCTTCTTTACCCTTAACTTCTTCTCCATCCAAAACTTCTTCTTCTTCTTCTTCCTTAACTTCTTCTCCTTCCTTTACTTCTTCCCCATCCCAAACTACTTCTCCATCCTTAACTTCTTCTTCTCCTTCCCTAACTTGTTCTTCATTCTTCACTTTTTCTCCATCCTCCTTAACTTCTTCTGCTTCCTTAACTTCATTCTACATCCCAAGTTTCTTCTCCATCCTTAACTATATAATCTCCCATCCGATCCCATCCCATCCGAAAGTTCTTCTCCTTCCTTAACTTCTTCTTCCTTAATTTCTTCTCCATACTTAGTAGATTCTTCTCCATTCCAAACTTCTTCTCCATCCCAAACTTCTTCCCCATCCATACTTTCTTCTTTATCCTTAACTTCTTCTCCATCCAAAACTTCTTCTTCCTTGACTTTGTCTCCTTCCTAAAGTTCTTCTTCCTTAACTTCTTGTCCATACTTTGGTTCTTCTCCTCCATTCCAAACTTCTCCTCCATCCCAAACTTCTTCCCCATCCATGCTTTCTTCTTTACCCTTAACTTCTTCTCCATCCAAAACTTCTTCTTCTTCTTCTTCTTCTTCCTTAACTTCTTCTCCTTCCTTCACTTCTTCCCCATCCCAAACTACTTCTCCATCCTTAACTTCTTCTTCTCCTTCCCTAACTTGTTCTCCATCCTTAACTTCTTCTCCTTCCCTAACTTGTTCTTCATTCTTCACTTTTTCTCCTTCCCTAACTTCTTCTCCATCCTCCTTAACTTGTTCTGCTTCCTTAACTTCATTCTACATCCCAAGTTTCTTCTCCATCTTTAACTATATAATCTCCCATCCGATCCTATCCCATCCGAAAGTTCTTCTCCTTCCTTAACTTCTTCTTCCTTAATTTCTTCTCCATACTTAGTAGATTCTTCTCCATTCCAAACTTCTTCTCCATCCCAAACTTCTTCCCCATCCATACTTTCTTCTTTATCATTAACTTCTTCTCCATCCAAAACTTCTTCTTCCTTGACTTCGTCTCCTTCCTAAACTTCTTCTTCCTTAACTTCTTCTCCATACTTCGGTTCTTCTCCTCCATTCCAAACTTCTCCTCCATCCCAAACTTCTTCTCCATCCTTAACTTCTTCTCCATCCCAAACTTCTTCCCCATCCATGCTTTCTTCTTTACCCTTAACTTCTTCTCCATCCAAAACCTCTTCTTCTTCTTCTTCTTCCTTAACTTCTTCTCCTTCCTTCACTTCTTCCCCATCCCAAACTACTTCTCCATCCTTAACTTCTTCTTCTCCTTCCCTAACTTGTTCTCCATCCTTAACTTCTTCTCCTTCCCTAACTTGTTCTTCATTCTTCACTTTTTCTCCTTCCCTAACTTCTTCTCCATCCTCCTTAACTTGTTCTGCTTCCTTAACTTCATTCTACATCCCAAGTTTCTTCTCCATCCTTAACTATATAATCTCCCATCCGATCCCATCCCATCCGAAAGTTCTTCTCCTTCCTTAACTTCTTCTTCCTTAATTTCTTCTCCATACTTAGTAGATTCTTCTCCATTCCAAACTTCTTCTCCATCCAAAACTTCTTCTTCCTTGACTTCGTCTCCTTCCTAAACTTCTTCTTCCTTAACTTCTTCTCCATACTTCGGTTCTTCTCCTCCATTCCAAACTTCTCCTCCATCCCAAACTTCTTCTCCATCCTTAACTTCTTCTCCATCCCAAACTTCTTCCCCATCCATGCTTTCTTCTTTACCCTTAACTTCTTCTCCATCCAAAACTTCTTCTTCTTCTTCTTCTTCTTCTTCTTCTCTTCTTCTCCTTCCTTCACTTCTTCCCCATCCCAAACTACTTCTCCATCCTTAACTTCTTCTTCTCCTTCCCTAACTTGTTCTCCATCCTTAACTTCTTCTCCTTCCCTAACTTGTTCTTCATTCTTCACTTTTTCTCCTTCCCTAACTTCTTCTCCATCCTCCTTAACTTGTTATGCTTCCTTAACTTCATTCTACATCCCAAGTTTCTTCTCCATCCTTAACTATATAATCTCCCATCCGATCCCATCCCATCCGAAAGTTCTTCTCCTTCCTTAACTTCTTCTTCCTTAATTTCTTCTCCATACTTAGTAGATTCTTCTCCATTCCAAACTTCTTCTCCATCCAAAACTTCTTCTTCCTTGACTTCGTCTCCTTCCTAAACTTCTTCTTCCTTAACTTCTTCTCCATACTTCGGTTCTTCTCCTCCATTCCAAACTTCTCCTCCATCCCAAACTTCTTCTCCATCCTTAACTTCTTCTCCATCCCAAACTTCTTCTCCATCCATACTTTCTTCTTTACCCTTAACTTCTTCTCCATCCAAAACTTCTTCTTCTTCTTCTTCTTCTTCTTCTTCCTTAACTTCTTCTCCTTCCTTCACTTCTTCCCCATCCCAAACTACTTCTCCATCCTTAACTTCTTCTTCTCCTTCCCTAACTTGTTCTCCATCCTTAACTTCTTCTCCTTCCCTAACTTGTTCTTCATTCTTCACTTTTTCTCCTTCCCTAACTTCTTCTCCATCCTCCTTAACTTGTTGTGCTTCCTTAACTTCATTCTACATCCCAAGTTTCTTCTCCATCCTTAACTATATAATCTCCCATCCGATCCCATCCCATCCGAAAGTTCTTCTCCTTCCTTAACTTCTTCTTCCTTAATTTCTTCTCCATACTTAGTAGATTCTTCTCCATTCCAAACTTCTTCTCCATCCCAAACTTCTTCCCCATCCATACTTTCTTCTTTATCCTTAACTTCTTCTCCATCCAAAACTTCTTCTTCCTTGACTTTGTCTCCTTCCTAAACTTCTTCTTCCTTAACTTCTTCTCCATACTTCGGTTCTTCTCCTCCATTCCAAACTTCTCCTCCATCCCAAACTTCTTCTCCATCCTTAACTTCTTCTCCATCCCAAACTTCTTCCCCATCTATGCTTTCTTCTTTACCCTTAACTTCTTCTCCATCCAAAACTTCTTCTTCTTCTTCTTCTTCTTCTTCTTCTTCCTTAACTTCTTCTCCTTCCTTCACTTCTTCCCCATCCCAAACTACTTCTCCATCCTTAACTTCTTCTTCTCCTTCCCTAACTTGTTCTCCATCCTTAACTTCTTCTCCTTCCCTAACTTGTTCTTCATTCTGAAAGTGATCCTAGCAAAGATCTCAGTGATTTGATGAAGTCAAAGATAAAGTCAAAGGTCAACTCTGCAACAGTCAAACAAGTCACTCAGAAGAATGGAGCTGAAGACTTAGTGTGTCTTAACAGAAAGCTTAGGTAAAACCACTTTACCTTTTCCACTGCATGAAGCTCCTTCACTCAATTTGCAAAATGCCTCAAAAATAGTTTTAAACAAATCAAACAAAAGCATTTTGACAAAGAACTTTCTTAACAATGTTTTTAACTGATATAGCTTTGAAAGAAACAATTAAAAACACTTAGAATGTTTTAAGAAGTGTTTTTACAGTATTTTAATCGATACAAACTTCTTTTAATCGATTAAAACCCTTTATGACTGATTAGAATTCGAATATGACAGGTCAGAATGAAATATAATCGATCAGACTTTAAAATTGAGCGATCAGATTTATTTTAATCGATTAAAACACGTTTTAATCGATTAAAACAACTTTGGAAGTCAAGATGATCGATTAGAATGAAATTATGACCGATCAGAGTTGGTTATGATCGATCAAAATTGAATTATGACCGATTAGACTTATTTCAATCGATTAAAGCGTATTTCAATCGATTAAAATAACTTAGAAAATCTTTTTACGAATTTCAATCGATTAAAGCGAACTTTCAATCGATTAAAATGACTTGAAAATATATGTGCAGATTTTCAATCGATTAAAAGCGACTTTATATCAGCTAAAATAACTTGGAAAGTTTTATAAGAAGGTTTTTAAACAAATCAATCGATTAATACGCGATTCAATCGATTGTTTTATACTTAGAAAAAGTTTGTAAAATGTTTTAAGCTGATATAAGCGTGGTCAGTATCGACTAAAACGATTACATTAAAGAAGCAAGAACGCATTAATGGGTTGAAAGGACTTTTAACAGATTATAACGGCTATTTCAACAGATTAAAACAAACTTTCAACAGATTAATTAATGCAGCAGATTTGAAAATTCTCTTTAAAAACAGTTTTGCTTGAAACTTTTAAACATAGATTGAATATCAGTTTTTACAAAAACAAAGCAATCAATTCAAGCAACTGTTAGCATCCTTTTTCCAAGAAAGAATTACAACTGTTTTGTGAAGTTCTTTTTGAAATCTTTCTTGAGGCATATTTCATTCTGTGAAGAAGAAACTTACTGTGGATTAGAGTAATCCGGTTTGAGCTTTCTAAGTCTCTTCTTTGTAAATTCTTTTTCATTACTTTGTATTGTGTTGTGCCTGGAATTTGGGCACAAGTTTTACTGTATTGGTAGGTGGTTGTAGAAGTTTCCAAGAACTGGAATTTGGTTCTTGGTGGAGAGGTTGAGTCTGAGAGCTGGAATTTGGTTCTTGTGCTTGTTTGGTGCCTGGAATTTGGGCACTTGGTTTCTCTGCAACTTGGAATTTGGTTGTAGAGGTTTTCAAGAACTGGAATTTGGTTCTTGGTGAAAAATTTGGTGCCTGGAATTTGGGTACTTGGGTTCTCTGCAGTTCGGAATTTGGTTGCAGAGGTTTCCAAGAACTGGAATTTGGTTCTTGGTGGAAAGGTTAAAGTCGGAAGCTGGAAATTGGTTACGGTGTTAGAGTAGGTGTAAGATTGTTGAGTCTGCAAAACATCTATTCTAGTGGAACCCAAGCTGGAATTTGGCTGGAGACTGGACGTAGCCACTGGTAGTGGGTGAACCGAGTATAAAATTACGGTGAAATCTTTCCTAACCTTTCTCTCTTTAATTTCGATTCTTTGCGCTTGTATTGTTTAATTGCTTTGTGATTCGTGAATTGATTAGTAAACTTAATTTTCGGATTAGATAATCTGTTTATTGCGAAAAACTTTCAAAAATCAATTCACCCCCTCTTGATTTAAAACTACTTTTCTAACAATTGGCATCAGAGCAAGGTGCTTGAAAATTATTCAAGTCTCTTGATCCATGGTCGAGAACAGTTACCGTTTTACGAGGGGCATCTATTAACAGACCTCCACTATTACGTGGAGCAGATTATCCTTTACGGAAAATTAGGATGAAAATCTTCATTGAATCCATTGACAGAAATGCTTGGGATGTTATTACTAATGGTCCTCTAATTACAAATAAAGGATGGTCAAGCTTGAATGATGAAGAGAAGAAGAAAGTTCAAAGTGATTGCAATGCAAAAAATATTATTACTACGCTCTTAACATGGATGAATTTTTCGAGGTGTCCCAGTGCAATTCTGCCAAGGAGATGTGGAATGTTCTTGAGGTCACTCATGAAGGGACTGCAGATGTTAAAAAGCTAGAAAGCACACTTTGATAAGAGAGTATGAGACTGTTCAAAATGCAGAATGGTGAAAGCATCGCGAGATGTGCGAAACGCTTCACGCACATCATCAACCACTTAATGGGTCTAGGTAAGACTTTTGATAAGGAAGAATTAAATATTAAAGTATTGAAATGCCTTGACGAGTCTGGCAGCCAAAAGTCACTGCAATATCGGAATCAAAAGATCTGTCCACCATGACAACAACCTCCTTTGTTTGGGAAACTCGAGAGAACATGAAATGGAAATCACAAGATTCAACGAACAAGAAATCTACGAGAAGAAGAACGGAAGCATTGCACTTAAAGTTGAAGAGAATCAAGAATCGAGAGGAAGAAAATGAGAACCTTGGATCGCTTGTTAGGAAATTCAACAAATTTCTCAAGAAAAAGATCCAAGACAAAGAAAGGCATAAAAGGTATGAGAAAAAAGCTGATTCCTCTAACTTTAAATGTTATGGTTGTGGCAAACGGGGCCATGTTAGAATGGAATGTCCAGAGAGAAATAAACAAAGTGAGAAGAAAGAGGAAAAATCAAAAAGAAGAGCCTACATAGCCTGGGATGACAATGATACTTCATCAACGGATAATTCGACAATGAAGAAGCAAACCTCTGTTTAATGGCAAGTCAAAATCCACAATCCAGCCAGGTAAGTTCTAGCTCCTCTTCAAATTTGGTCAACTATGATGCATTACAAGAAGCATTTAATGAAATGCATGAGGAGGCTAAGAAACTTCAAAAAGAAAATGATAGGCTAAAAGGATTAAATAGGCTGGCTAGTTAACAAAATTGATTTTACGGAAAAATAGATTTGTGAAAATGAAACCGATAATGAATTCTTGAAATTGATTCATGCTAACTCTGATTGTGAATGCAATAAACCATGCAAAAGCGTTCCGAATTGCAAAAGAAAATTGAATTCTTATCTCAAACTGTTTCAAAGTTCACTCGAGGGCAAGCTAATCTTGATATATTACTTGGATCTCAAAAATTAATTTTTGACAAAGCTGGAATAGGCTTTAAATCTAGATCCGATAAAACAAAAATAAATAGGAATTCATACTCTACAATCAAATGTTTCTACTTGTATGAAAAAAGGGCATTCGAGTAAAATACTGCTAGAATTAAAAAGTATGCTATTCCTAAAGGGAGAATGAAATGGGTTCCAAAGATTAATTCTTTTCAAATAACATGATCAGGACCCGATAATTATAAAGGGTACCGGAACAATTCTTAATTTGTTTTGCAGGAACAAGTTCGGGAATCCCTTGAAGATCGAAGCTGCAAAATCAGGTTCGAGTATTTAAACTAATTGTTTTAATTGATATATAACAATATTAATCGATTAAAATAACTTACAGAACATATGTCAGTACCATTTTAATCGATTAAAATGTCAAAATAATCAATTGAAGCTGATCTCAGGATTTTGGTTTAATTGTTTTAATCGATTATAATATCTTTATATCAACTAAAAACACTTAGGTATCAAAATTAATCGATTCATTCACGTTTTAATCGATTTAAATTATAGTGTCATGTTATTGATTTCATTTTGTACTAAACTAATCGATTCTTTTATAAACCAATCGATTAATTCATTGTAACTTGTTTTCAAACCTGATAGGAAAAATGAAATTAATAGATAATTAGTTGATTAATCGATTAATTAGGTTCGAAAACAAGTTTTATAACATCTAATTAAAGGTTGATAGGCCAATTCGAATCAAAAACCCAATTTCTTTGATAAACAAAATCTGCATAATACTTTCACCTCTCGTCACTGTAAATTGTGCCTCTGTAGCGGTTCAGATAATCATAAATGAGTCTCGAACATATCGATTCAAGTTATGTGTTTTACCCAATTTTCTTTAAATAGCACATGCTTGAACAAATCCTTGAATTAGAAACTAAGACTAGTGGAATAAATGTGGGAAAGTTATTGCTTGATTGAAATCTTGCAAACTTTACATGTGGGAAAGTTATCCATAGATGAAAAAGTTATTTTAACATAGTCATGATTCAAGTTTGTAGATGTCCTTACATGTCCTTATCAAAGAATAGGCTGTAACTTTTCTTATAGACACTAGTTACAAACAGGACAAGTCTGTTAGGATCTGAAAACATAGTTTATCAAAGATTTTTAGGTGATAGTTGCTTACGGTAATAAGTTGTTGATTACTAGGAACTTCAATGAACAAATGTTTACATTAGATTTCTTGATATTACCTAGCAATATATTTGAAATAATCTTGAGCATGCATTGGTTCAAAACTCTTGGTGATATTCATTGGAGCTTGCAACTTTAAGAAT